TTTGAAAGCAGTGTTGTTCTCTTTGTTGCAGTATTAGGAAAAGGTTGGCTTTAGGCAATGCAATATAAGTTCCATCCATCTCAACATTAGAGAGTACACTGTATGCAATATAAGTTCTCCCACTTGCAATTCATAAGAAAAGATGTTCACTTAACTATCCATCCTACTTAAGCAAAACTGTTTAAATTTTGGAGTAAGGACCTTACAAGGGCCTCTCTATGAATTAATTTACAATTTGCTTTATTTTTCTTTTCAGTGTTTTGTAAGAGGACATTGGACACTGTTTTTTAAAAACATATATTTTTATTGATTTTAGAGAAGAAGGGAGAGGGAGAGAGATAGAACATCAATGATGAGAGAGAGAGAGAGTGATTTGCTGTCTTCTGCATGCCCCCCCCCCCCCCCCCCCCCCCCCCCCCCCCCCCCCCAGGGATTGACTCGGAAACCTGGGTATGTGCCCTGACAGGGAATCAAACTGTGACCTCCTAGTTCATAGGTCGATGCTTAACCACTTGCCACACTGCCTGGGCAGGTCACTAGTTTTTAAAAAAATATGTTTTATTGATTTTTTTAGAGAGAGGAAGGGAAAGAGAGAGAGAGAGATAGAAACTTCGATGAGTGAGAACATCAGTTGGTTGTCTCCTGCACGCCCCTCACCAGGGATTGAGCCTGTAACCTGGAATGTAACGGGTCATCTCTTGGTGCATGGGTTGATGCTCAGTCACTGAGCCACACCAGCTGGGCTGGACCCTGTTTTTGTGATAGGTAGACCTGGACCTGTGCAGTTTCTTGAGCCATGAATTTTCATATTGTATCCTTTAAGTCTGGAAGAGTGGTTTGCCTCTGTTTTGCTGGTATGGTATGATCACACACTTTTTTTGTGTGTTAGTGGGATCCTGCTGAATAAGAAATTGGCTTGGTATGGGGTGGTCTATAAAATTTACATTAGATTATTCCAATTCTGTGTTTGGTGAGAGCTGACACTGTGTTGGTAAGTTCTCACACTGTGTTTCTGATTCATCTTACGGTGTTGTTATAGAGTCTAGAATGTGAGTATTTACGGCAGTATCTTGCTAATTCAAGCAGCTGGCCTTTCTGGGTTACAGGGTCGAGCAGTTCACTTAAAGCAGTGGTTGGCAAACTGCGGCCCCTTGAGTGTGGCTCTTCCACAAAATACCACGTGCGGGCGTGCATGTACAGCGCGATTGAAACTTCGTGGCCACACTCAAGGGGCCAAAGAGCCGCATGTGGCTCGCGAGCCGCAGTTTGCCGACCACTGACTTAAAGGAATGATTTTAGCTTTGAGGCTTGAGACAATGAATCCCAAAACTTATTGGTTAATTAGATTAGCATGTGCCTGGCAAGTACAATAGTTCTACAAGCAGCTTGAGGTTACACCAAAGATAGTGTCTTTCTGTGACTACTTCCCATGCTCTTGATGTGTAGTGGGCGTCCTCCAGCCTCAGCCCCAGCTCCAGCCCCATGTATGTGACACAAAACAGTGAATCATTAGTCACAGTTGACATGCAGCTAATAGCTTCATAGCATATTTGACACCGTAATGACTGAGGAGGTACTGGAATATTTCCTGTTTTTAAACACTTTGACTCGCTTTCTGAGAGGTAGCATGGCAACTCCAAAGAATATTTAGAATTCTGATTCTTTGCAAAGAATATTTAGTATAAGGACTTGTAGAGTACATTGCTTGAATCACAGAGGTACGTTCCTACTTGTCAAGCAGGTTTATGGAACACTGAAAAATGAACAGGGCTTACTTATTTAGTGTGGGCAATCTTTTAAAACCGGTTCACACCATAGCTAAGATCTGGAAACAGCCTAAGTGCCCATCAGCAGATGAATGGATTAGAAAACTGTGGTACATCTACACAATGGAATACTATGCTGCTGTAAAAAAGAAGGAATTCTTACCATTTGTGACAGCATGGATGGAACTGGAGAGCATTATGCTAAGTGAAATAAGCCAGTCAATGAAAGAAAAATACCACATGATCTCACTCATTTATGGATAATTAAGACCATTATAAACTGATGAGCAAAAATAGATACAGAGGCAGAGCAACATTGAACAGACTGTCAAACTACAGCGGGAAGGCTGGGGAGAGTTAGGTGGGGGGGGCGGTAAGAGATCATCCGAAGGACTTGTATGCATGCATACGAGCATAACCAATGGACACAAGACACTGGGGGGCATGGGAGGCTAGGGGAAGGTCGAGGGGAGAATAAAAAAGGAGACATATATAATACTCTTTGTAATACTTTAAGCAATAAAACAATTAAAACAAATAAATAAAACCAGTTCATTTTAGTTGAGTTTTTCTTACAGCTTTACTTAAAATGATAACAAAACTCTGGTTACATGTGCTGTGATGGTAGATGTCATCCATCTTTAGGCATATTGTAGTGTCTAAAGCAACATTAAGGCTCCATGTATATTTGTTGAGTTAAATTTTCAAATTAGTTGCTAAATTCCTCTAGTCTTAGGTTTCTCAGTCTGTAGTTCCCACCTCACTTGAGCTTTCATAGGCTGTCATTTTCTCTTCTTACTGCCACCACCCTTCCCTCACCCCAATCTGGTCCCTGCTTTTAACATGGCTGGTCATATAGAGGCAGAAAGACCTCTCTGTACCAGATACTGTGTTAGGATCTTGTAGTAAAAACAAACTAAGACCTGGTGCTTACCCTCAAGAGGTTAGCAGGGGTGGGCAAACTTTTTGACTTGAGGGCCACAATGGGTTCTTAAACTGGACCGGAGGGCCGGAACAAAAGCATGGATGGAGTTTTTGTGTGAACTAATATAAATTCAAAGTAAACATCACTAGATAAAAGGGTACGGTCTTTTTTTTTTTTTAGTTTTATTCATTTCAAACGTGCCGGATCCGGCCCGCGGGCCGTAGTTTGCCCACGGCTGGGTTAGAGTCTAGACTAGGGGAATTAATCATGTAGAGAAGTCTGAAAAGTACAAGTCATGGTGTGGGGGTGGCAGAGTGGGGACCAGGGGGCAGTTTAAGGAAAGGCATGGTCAATTTTATTTAGAAGGATGAGTCTTGGCTTCACAGTAACCCTAGAGTAGAGTCTTTAAGAACAGGTGCCCCTGGCAGTGGGGGACTTGGGAAGGGAATGGGGGAAATTCTCCAGGGAATGGAGAAAGTAGTCCCTATGTTTTGTACATTGGCCCTTATGAGAAGCAAGAGTATCCTGTTGGGGAATTTGGGGAATGTAGATTTAAAAATATATATATCTAGGAAAAGAAGAGAGCAAGGCATTGTGAATGCTGCCAGAGGTGGTGGATATGCTGCAGTTTGGGAAGGAGGTGCATAGGTCGGACCTGGAAGGAAGTGAATGAACATCTTGGAACAGGTATGGTAAAGGGACTCAAAGTCTTGGTGAAGTCAAAGAGCAAGTGAAGGTGGAGGAGCTTGTCGAATAGAAAAATGTTCTCAGAGAGGTGGATAAAATGAGGAGTCTGGCTTTGAAGAGACTCAAGGTGTGATCAGGAGCATATTGCTAAGAAGGCCCTATACTTTGATCCTTTACCTCTCATGGGACTGTCTTTCCTTGGGGAATATCATCTCCACTGTCTCTCACATATAACCAGCCCAGATTGCGTGCCTTACTTCCACACCATTTTATTCAGTGGCTTAAACTAACCATATTTGTAACTCAAGGAAACTCTGATATAAAACCTTTTAAATCAACCTTCCCATGTTGAATTGATTATTCTTTGGTACCCAGTGTGTAACTCATAAGACTATTCTCATCTATATCTCTTTATAGTTATGTGTTTACATGGCTTTATCTCTTAAATGATAAGCCACTTGAATCCACAGTTTGTTTTTATTTTGTTTTGGGTAAGCCAGAAAAGTGTCTGACAGTCCTGTGTGCTAAGCATTTGTGGAAGGGAGAAAAGAAAAGAGGAAGGAATTGGATAAGGAAATTGAAATTGAGAGACGGGAGGAATTTGAGATTAAAGAATTATACACTTTACTATGTGAACTCTGAAGATTATGTAGGAAGTAGCAAAAGCTGAAGAAGGAGAGTTTTGAGTAGCTGTGGGTGAATGAGGAGGATGGTAGTGGTATTAGGGAGGTGCGTTAAGAATAATAACGGGGAGAGGTCAGTGCAAGGAGGGGGAGTATGGACAGCCTTCTTCAAAGAAGTTGACATTTAGAGGAAAGTTTAATGACATATAAAGGAATTATCAGAGGCCACAGTGGAGAATGGGTTGGGAGAGGACTTGATTGAGTCAAGATCTGCCCAAATCCATAAATTTGAGTAAATACTGCTTCTATGTGGGAAATATTACAATGAGAATTGACTTTTAAATTCTTACTCTTGGATGTCTCTTGGATGAAGACATCTGGGGAGAATGGATAATAGCAACAACAATAAAAATATTTATGAAGTGCTTATATTATCTCATTTATTCTCTCAACAGCCCTATGAGATATGTATTATCATCTTTCCCATTTCATGAATGAGGAAAGTTTGGTTTAGAGTGATTAAGTAGCATTCCCCATCCTCACATTCCTCCTAAATGGACCTACTTAGTTTATAGCCAAGGCGACGCATGCTAGAACCAGTGAGGTCCCCTAGGAGCATCAGAAGGACTGTCTGAACTCTTGAGACACTGCCAGTTGAAGCCCTTCCTGAGTGATCAAGTACCCACTGCCACTTGCTTGAGCCCCAGAAGTTCAACCAAAACTGTACTGCCAGGTTGGGAATCTGTTGGGTTATACTGCTACCTTCTGAGAACAGAGATCTGGGTTAATGATGAGATAGGGTAAAAATAGAATAAGAAGGAGAGAAAAAGGACACTTTCATGTTAGGAAGAATGATACTGCTTAAAATTCCCAGAGAATATGTTTCAGTCTTCTAGATAGCATATATACTGTTAGCCTGAGTCAAGTCAGGATGGTGAGCTGGAAGAGGAAGACATGGATTATAAAAATATGTGTTTTGTTTATTGGAGGTGAGGGGAGATGATTCATGGGAATTGTAGAATAGGGGCAATCAAAAAGTTTTAAAATCTGGCAATATAGAGTATTCTCCTTCAATGGGTTCTTGAGGTTGGATTTTGCTTCTGTGAGAGAATCTTTTCCTTTGTGTCAGCTTACGGGGGTTCTTGGGGGCCTTCTTGGGATGCTCTCTTCCCCAAAATGAGGAGAGGATTCGCTGCCTTAGCCAGCGGAAGACCCACCTGAAGTTGAGAAAGGAGAGGGGTTGTGTACTAGAATGAGTGTCCTCCCCCTTCGGCTTATCTGATGAGATTGAGCAGGTCTCTGTAGTGCTTGTTCTTTGTCTGCCAGTTGTCTGTCCCTTTGTCTGCCAAGGAAATGAATGATAAGTGAGTTATGTGCAACCTGGACAACATGGGGTCCATAACTACCCATTATTGGGACTCAAGTCCTTTTATCAAAAATAACCCATCTGTAAATGCAAAGTTTCCATACTCATTAATACAGACACACTTTTGGGGGGCCCTAATTGTTAGCCTTTACTTTACTTTCCTATCCTTTTCTCTCCCTCCGTGGTCCTTGGTATTTTTCCTTCAGCTCCACCCTGACCCTTTTCCTTGATGTTATCCTTCTTCCACTCCCAGCCATGTCAGACACCCAGAGGGCCCGCCCTGCTTCATAGCAGGTAGCAATGTTCCCTGAATTCCACCCAGGCCCCTCCACCAGGCCTGCCCCCTGCTTGCCTATGAGGCATCACTGTGCTCACCTCAGCAAGTTCATGTTCCTGAAACTTTGGAGGAGTCTGTGGACACTGGATGGCATCATTTTCTGGTGGGCTGAACGTGGGCAAATCTTGAAGACAAGCATCATGTTCTTGATGACTGACCTGAGCCACATCTGGAGGGGTGCTGCTGGACAGCTGGAAATCCTCCTTTTGAGCAGATTCAGGGAATACAAACTCATCATCTTCGTCATCTTTCTGATTTTCTAGAAATTGCTCAAGCCTTTGTACCAGCCCATTCAGTTTGCTGAGAGTCAGTTTTGTCTTCTCTTCAGGATATTTGTCTGTCCACTGGTTGTCTCCATGTAGATCCCAATTAATGATTGAGTCTGAATGGTTACAGCCATCCCAGGCCAGGGTGATGTTGAGTTTGCCAAACTGCTCTGTGCTGTCCTGAATTTGGTCTTGTCTCTCCAGGAGTGTCCCTTTACTTTCAGTCCGCCATGACCCTTGGAACAGAGGGACAAAATGGATTGAGGGGTTGTTGGAAGATGGGTCTTCACAGGAGGTTGTATTCTCATTGGAGAAGGTGTCTTCATTGGGGTAGTAGCCCACAGAGAGGCTCAGGTTTGATTCGGAGCTGCAGTCCCCAGTGTCAGCACAGTTGCTGTAAGAGAATGAGTCTGCCATGGAGTTCAATCAAATATTAGGTCTCCCTCATCTCAGGAATCTTCAAAATAAAGAAAAATAGATGAGACTAGTAAGCAGTAATGTTATCTATTCCTTTTTCTATTTGGAACTATTTGTCTCTGGTAGAAGTAGTTCATCCTATTTTGCAATCTCCAATGAAAGGCAAAAGAGGCAGCCCTCTCCCTTTAAAAATCTCTTTCGTTGTATCACAATTCCTTCTACTAAGCATTTTCACCTGTTGCCCCACATCATCTTACTACAGTTGAAAGAAAAATTACCATTGTATAAAATTTGAAAAATATAAAAATATATATAAGATGAAAATAAATATGCCTATGATCCCTTGATCCAGAAATAATGGTGATCATTATAAAAACATTTTGGTGGATTTCCTTGTAATCTTTTTCTTTCCATATGTACACATATTTATACACATACATACTCCCATTCACATACATGTGTCGACATAACGTCACATCAATTCAAACAAATTATTTTATGGCATAACCTGCAATAAAAGTATGTTTTTTTTCTATTCTGTCACTTTTAACCACTTTCTCATTAATGACCATTAGCTGGTAATTATTGTTATAATAAATAAATTTGCATTAAACCCTCTTGTCAGTAAATTTTTATCTCTCTTTATATTCCTATATGTGGGTTTAATGGATCAAAGATCACAAACATATTAAAGGCTTCTGATAGTTGATACCAAATTGCTTTCCAGAAAGGTTATAGCCATTTGTACGCCCATCCTCCCACCATCTGATGGCACTTTTTTGTCCAGCTTTTTCTATGATGTCCCAATAAGTAAATGGGGGTAGCGAGAGAGGAGGCACACAACACACATGCACACACACACCCACATTGCAGACTCCCATTTTCTGCTGTGGTGGCCGCCCATGTGAAAGAGGTGCTACCAACTTAGCCCTAAACTGAGGATGTTCAAAATCCTTCAGATCCTGAGTCTCAGTAGCTGGAAGCTCAACTGCCCGAAGTCTGTGTTCTGGGACCGTTGGTTACCACGGCAACACAAGAGCCCAAGTCAGAGAAATGGCAAGAGCAAGAAGGGATAGAAAGCCACAGGAGCGAGCCTTTGCTTCCAAAATATTCTCTAACCATACCATCCTGGGCTGAAGAGGATCCCTCTCGAGGGCAGAGGATGGTTACTTCTGCGATGGCGGTTGCTTCCCTCTTGCCATGTGCATGTCTAAGATGGTTCCTAACTTAAGGTAATTTAGAGCCTATTGGTGAGATGGACATAAACACCCTATTATCGCACAGAGAGGTGAGTGCAGCAACAGAACTTAAAAATAACGGTGTGGAAGAACAAAAGGAGGCACCTCGTGCAGCCGTGGTAGAGATTGAGGGGTCAGGAAAAGGCCAGTGGAGGACATTGCTTCTCATGTATGTAGGAGGGAAGAAGTTAGGTGTAAAGCAGGGGTGTGGGGAGGGCCTTTCAGGCAGAGGAGAGGGCATGAGCAGGGACACTGAGGTGAGAAGCAGCCAGTGGTGTGGAGAGGTCAAGCAGGGGCCAGTGAGATCATGGAAGGCCCCCTCCCTTCCATTAGGGAACCTGGATTTTATCCTGAAGCCTATACGTGGATGGTAGTGTTCATTTATCAGGCCCTCTTCCAGGCAATTCAAAGTATATTGAAATACTTGACATGGTTAAAACAAACAAAACTTCCAGTGGACTTGGCAGCATGAATGTTATTGCTTGGCTTTAATGCGAAGGGAATCAATAAGTTTGCACTGGGTTGAGGGGAATGGGAGGAGAAGAAGTAGGAACAGTGCATATAGACTATACTTTAGGGGTGTCTGAGAAAGTGAGGGTGCAGAGTTGAGGTTCAGTTCCACAGCTACCCTCCAAATAAAAAAGAGGTAAGGAATCAATACAGGAAAGAGTTCAAAATATAAAACTTGGCTGCTTTGTTTAGAGAAACTAAGGGTGGGATCCATGCCATGAGCTGACGGGTTAGTTGTAATAAAAGGAATATGTTGTTCCATAATATTGGAAGGAAAAAATGAAGATGGATATGGAAAAATTTGGAGAAATGCATTGTTAAGTACCACATTTTATTTGAATTTTTCAGCTAGGCTTCTTCCTTATTTCTGAGGTTAAATCTGCTTCTTTCTTTCTTTCTTTCTTTCTTTCTTTCTTTCTTTCTTTCTTTCTTTTTTTTAAATTAATTCTGTTAACTGGATCTCTGTTCTTATTCTCCTTGTTCCCAACATTATCTTGACAGCCTCAGCCTCTTCAGAAACATGAAGTGTCTTGGTTCTTCTAGAATTGCTTTTCCTTGTCTTCTTCTTGCTCTGGGCATTCCTACTGCTCACCAAGCCCCCTCCCCCCCCTCCCCCCAAGGCTGCCCTTCCCTTCCAATGGCATCATGACATTATTTGGGGGCTGGTCAGATCATGGCTCCCCAGTGATCCAGTCTGGCCACTTTGCCTTCACTGCTATGGTGTTCTCAGTGGGTACTTCATGGCAGAGATAGTAAATCTTTCATTCTCTGTTTCCAAATATGTGATTCTGAAGACAAATGTGGGTTCTTCTGTAGGACTGAAGGCTCTCAGTTGCATAGACTAAACCAAAGAGCCTTTTCTATGAGCAGTGACCATGGCCAATGTCGTTATAGCAACCTCCAGTCCAGTCTAAGCTGTGAGGCTATGGGAGATTGTTTGTAGTCAATTCACTTATTTTCAGGAAGGGAGTAGGGCATCGACTCAGAGTTTCCTAGGGATGGAGTACATATGTAATTTGGAAAAGCATATTCTTAACATTGCTTAGATTTGCTTTTGGTTTTTTAAATTTTCAAGTTTCAAATAGCATTAAAAGAAACCATAAGGTTTTCATATTTATCAAAAAGAGTCATGGCTTTAAACACACACACACACACACACACACACACACACACACACACACACACACACCAAGAAACACTGGTCTGACTTAAAAGAACCTCAATTCATTGGAATCTATCGGTTGCATAAGATCTTTTCCAAATATTTTTCTCTGTCTTTATTTCCATTAAACAAGAACTTGGGTATGACTGTCAGGTTTGTCACTGTTGTACGGGTTTAAATTTGTAGATTGTATTAACTAAGAGTATTCACTGAGCCAAACCGATCAGGGCTTAACTAAGAGTATTTTAGGTGACTCTGTTTCAGGAGTTATGATGGCATAATGTAAGAAATAGAGTTGGAGCTGGGGAGAAATCATCTCTACTACCCAATAGAGGCTGCTTGGCACTTAGCCACAAACTGCTCACCACCCTCTTGAGTGGTTGGGGACCTAGACTAATCCCTGGGGTTGTAAGTCAGGAGCAACATATTCCCTGGCATTTGTGGTGCACTTACTACATGCCAGATCCTGTCCTAAGCACTTTACATGTGTTTGTTTATATGTTACAGCAACCCAGTCAATTATCATTATTTGCTCTGTTTTAATGAAGAAGGAACCAAAGTATAACCTGCCCACCATCCCAGATCATAAACTCTACAGCCTAGATTCAAATATAGGCAGTCTGTCTCCAGAGAACCTATTCTTATCCTTTACACAGTCTTGTCTTTCAGGAGTCTGACTGTTCACCTCCTCTCTGAAAGATTCTTGGGAGAGTTGACCCAGTCCAAAATCAAACCTGCATTCTGGTTTCTTGAAAGAAACTCCTTTGAGTAAAGCAGCATGTTCTAAAATACCTGTACGAGGTGGTACACAGGACTGGCCCGAAACAATTGTGTCCACATTTGGGGCAGACTCGAATGAGATTTAAAATAAGTATTCAGCTTCCTCTTTGGCCCAAGAGATCTGGATCCCACTGCTGTGGCTTTCCATAGAAACTATGCCTGCCTTCCAGAACACTGGGAGCCTAGGGAAGAACTCAGAAGTAGCTCTCTTTCTCTGCAGCTGGGATGAAGGTGTATGTGGTTCCGGTACCCATTGAAATAGAACACTTTGAAATAAATATAAACATTTAAGTAGGAAAACATATTTCCTACCTAAACTACTAAAGATTAGAGTCATCTGTAAGATAAAAGAGTTTCAAATGGGGGCAGCCTCTGAGAAAACTTGGTATTTTAAAATTTTATTTCTATCATTTATCTCCCTTTCTTTCTCTTCTCTCTCTCTCTCTCTCTCTCTCTCTCTCTCTCTCTCTCTCTCTCTCTCTCTCCATCCTATATAATAAAAGCGTAATATGCAAATTGACCGAATGGTGGCAGGGGGCGAGGAGGGGAGCAGGACCAGTGAGCAGGCAGTGCCAGGCCAGCCAAGGCCTATGCCAGTGGGCAGAAGGAGGGAACTGTGATGGGGGGGTGGTGATCAGCAGCGGCGGCGGGAGGGTGATGAGGTGGGGGGCACATTACTGTCCCCTGATCTGCCCATCCATTTGCCTTCCACAGTGGGAGGCCCGGCTGGGTAATGGGGGTGGCGCTGTCTCCTGATCAGCCAGCCTGGTTGCCTCCTGCACAGGGAGGCCAGACTGCAGCTTAGGCCTGCTCCCCGCATCAGTAGGACATCTCCTGAGGACTGACTCCCAGACTGTGAAAGGGTGCAGGCCAGGCTGAAGGGCCCCCCCGCCCCCCGCCTGCCGAGTGCACGAATTTTTGTGCACTGGGTCTCGTGTGTGTGTGTGTGTGTGTGTGTGTGTGTGTGTGTGTGTGTCTATATATATTATGTTAAAGTCCCTGAAACGTCCATTTTTCTCCAGAATAAAAAGGATAATTATAGGAGTGGGGTTTCTCTCTTCCCGCAACCAGAACAGAGAGAGAGAACAAGGGGGTTGATGAATCTTGATTAGAATGCGACAAGGTTTAAGGAAAAATGAAAAAACACAAGACTGAGACAGAAATAGGGTGAAAGCTGGGCCTGGGTGTGGCGTCTGCCCTCTGATGAAGGGACACAGAGAGGGTCAGCACCACAAGCAGATTTATTAAATACTCGAATAACAGGAAGTTCCATCACATCTGGTGGGCCTTGAGTTCCTGGCGACATCATG